AGTTAGTAACTAATCTGTGTGTTAATATACCGTGTGGCAGTTATAAAGTCTTGCGAATTTACTGTTGTCCTATTGCTTCTTACGTATATTGTTACGTCAACGTTCGAATGCGAATTGCATTACAACACCACGCCAGTTCAACAGTTCGTCAAAGATTGTTGCCCATCTTTAAGGCAACTATTAAAACTCGATTCGGCTCGACTCGACTGCACTTCATACACTCGTTCTTACGCTTTTTTGGGTTTGGACTCAAGCTGCGGAAATCGCAGTATCAGATTTCACGGATTTTTTTGTGTTTTTAATATTAGTGCCGAGGTTAGACTCCTCAACATCGGATGATTAAGGAACCCGTTAAACATAACATATTTACAGAGCTGGGAGAGGGAAGTGTGGGTAAAGTTGTAGCTATCACGCTTAAAATCTCTGACTACCCTTAACATCAAGTTTCACGCTGAATATAAAATATCCACACATCCATTTTCCCAAAAACCCTGCCCGTTTTCGAATTGCTTCCTTTGAGCGGGGTGTCAGTTCTTTCCCAGTCATTTGCTTCATCCGCTCCCCTCCGTTGCAACCCAGGGACCTAAATCACTGTACTAACCTTCATCCTTCGCCGTCCATCCCAACTCCAATTGTTGCAACTCAGCCTCCCTCTTCTAGCCGAACCCATCTGAGATGAATCGAGTTTTAGTATTTTAGTATTACTATCCTTAAACTTGTCGCTACGACAATTACAGCAGAGCATTAGCCTTTCACGAAAACCAGACATTTTCAATGTTCTTCCACACGTCAAACTGTAAAGCAGCGAATATTCTTAACAGCAAATGTTTGCTGAATAAGGCTGCGCAAAACGCACGAATGCACCGGCTCTTTGTCACTTGCTACAGTAAATGTGGGACGTACCCGGTGAGGTCCTGATCTTGGCGTGGTCTAGTGGAGCTCACGAACGAAAGTATAATTGAAGTTCTTTTTGATACATAACTGGCATTTAATTGTAAACCGAGAAAGTGGGGGCGCGGCATTATACGCAATCGGCAGTTGGCGCATTAATAAAGAGGAATGATTTATCTGAGAAACATTAAGTTTGCCAGGGGACCCATTTAAGTTTTACTCGATAGGTGTCGTGAAAGCCCAAAGCCAGTGCAGTTGAGGACATGAGAATAAGATGATGACAAAGAGAACTGCATGCAGATGGCGAAAAGAAGAACCCGAAGTCCAAGATGAGGTGGCGCCGAAGATCCAGAAGATATGGCTCCAATCCCAACTGGAGAAAAGGGATTTATATAGTAGAGATGGAGGGGACGCAATCTAGACTGTATGTCCCGCCGAATCTACCGCCTACTCAGATATAGTCACAGACACTGGAAATGTTTGTTCCCCTCCCCCTCCCCTTACTCCCGGACTATAGATTACGGTAAACAGAAGAAAGGGGAAAAATAAAATTAATGGGGACTGAAAGGTAAGAAAGGATGGGAAAAAAAGAAATACTTATCATCAAAACAGCTGCATTTACACTACAAATAGAGTAAAAGATTAACGTTGGTGATATTTTCAGAGAATAACTGAACATAACCAATGCATTAGACCGATCCACTAACTCAAGTGCATCACTCCTTGGTTCTAAATGCGACTTTAACTATTTTTGCAGCTTTCCTTGCTTCTAAATGCAATTATTTTTCGAGGTAATTTGCTAGGGTCTGGCATACTGTAGATGCCGAGAATTGAACTGATATCAATGGATTGCTTGTCTTTTTGCTACACGATTGAAAACGTTCGGGTTATGAGTCGATGACGAACCAGTAGTCGCTTCGAGTAATTAGGCGTCCAATTAAGCGTAAATTTCGCTAATTATGCTAATTCAGATGTGGAATGCAATAGTTATAAAATGGGTAGTGATGCACTCATTTCACATTGTTAGTATGTTTGGTATCATTAGCACCTGCGCCCATCTAACATTTCTCAGACTTTTATTCATTTTTGGCACGATCGGAGCTTACAAGCATCGCAAGAAGGATGGTAGTGAAGGGACGATGGTAGCGCTTCTGGACGATCTCCGCGAACAAGATGAGGACTACGAGGAGGGAGACGAAACGATTCAAGGTCTCTGCAGTTACTGTCTCGTTTCGTCCCCTTTACAGTTCGTTCGTTCAACTCAGATATAAATTCATTAGAACTGAGCCTTTTCCTGTATGAAAAGAGTCGTAGGCGTCAAATAAAGATTGCTTCTTAAGCTGCTATCACAAGCAGCGGACGCTTTGCCTAATTTTTGCCGGCTTTTCGCGGATATTCATGACAGATTCACTAATCCCAAAAAAAGGCTAGTTTGGGCCCGAGGCTAGAATCAAACGTACTAGCACTTTTGCTTTGATGCTTTAATTAATCGCATTGCATGACGTTTTTTTTCTATCCTTGTAAACTGGCTACTTTTAAATTTCCTTTGTTCAGTACCGATAGCCTTGTATCCTGGCACTCGTTTCGTCGCCTGGAAGAACTGCTGCTTCAGCGGACTTCTCTTGACATAAGCAATTTGAAGCTTTAGCCGTAGATGTTACTAGCACATATTGAGCATTATCATCTTGCTCCTAGACCACGACGAGGTAACTCTTAGACGTTAGGCATGCAGCTTTTGAATTGTCGTTTTATAAGCAATTAATTTTGTTTCCAGATGAAGTGGATGTAGGCAACAAACTTAAATGACTAATTTGTTTCCAATAAAAAATTAACTAAGTAAAAAGCGAATAATTATTGTTTCCAGAAAACTGAGTAGCTAATTTCGTTTCCAGAATCCTGGGATCCAAACGAACGCGGTGATGAACAGTATTACCGTAAAAATCACTCAGAAATCAAAGAGTTATCGTACGGGCAATCTCAATTTCACTGCGGTGACAATGAATCGTTTTACGTACCAGAAACTGAACAGTGCTATCGAGTGTTTTATTGCCCAGAATCGCTGCGTTACCGCTGGCGTACATTTGCGTGGTCAACATGTGCTGAAGCTCGTGCTGAAAGGCAGTGGTTGGCCAGTAGCCTGCATTGTTCGGATGCGTATCGGGGGCAGTTGTTCGATTTCCTGGATTCGCCAACCATTAAACTGCGTTTCGCATGGTGGATTGCAAAAAAGATTGCCCAGAAGATGGAGCGCGCCGGATTTTTTTGGAACATGGCGATTGGTACGCGAATGGACGGTGATGGAATGCTAATTGGTACCCGAGGTAGTGTTGGAAGTCGTAAGAAACGACCAATCAGGCAGCCAATAAGCGATTTGCCAAAATTTCGTGTCTATAAACCGCTTCCTTGCCAAAGTGATGTCTGCTGTCTGGCGTGGTACTCGGGAAAAATGCTTAAGGATTTTTGGAGCAAGACAATTATTGTTGCACGACGTTCATGTGAAAATCATGGTGGTGGGACATACTTGTGCCAAAAAAATGCAAATTCTGGTTCACCAGAGCCAAGAGAAAAAGTTGGAAAGAGCACTATAATTTCCGATGACCGGAACAAATTCAGACTCAAATTAATGCGCCCAAATGAGCATGAAAATCATGAAGTTTTTAATTCGAAAAAGCACGAAGCCAGCAAGCACGGAGAACAAAAAACGAACCAAAAAACTGCCAGTTACAGACGAAAAAAAAAGAACAAAACTGCCAAGCATAAAAGACACTATTTGTTGCCAGTTATATTAAGCATTTTGCCTCTGATTGATAGCATTATGCATTATACAACAATAAACAGAAGCGTGTGAATAATAAAGCTTACGAACGGAAAACAGATGTTCTTGCATCCGACCAAATGAGTGGAACTTATGACATGTGCTAGATGAGCAAGGATGCTAAGTAGTGTTTCATTCCTTAGCTGTAAACAACAAGCAAAGGTACAGGGTACAAGCACAAATGGGTCATCAGTACAGCCTTCTTCTACTTGTCGTGCAGAGGAAATAGGCTTTTTTCTTTTTTGGCGAGGAGGGAGTGAATGGGCTGCTTTTAAGAATGAAGCAGTGACCGAATGAAGGAATGAGAAACACGCAAACACAGAATCGTTCTTGTTTTTGTTTTTTCCTTTTCAGTGGCTGTCGATTACAGCAAAAAAGAGAAAGAGAAGAAACATTAAGAATCCCTCTTCTTCTACCCGGCGCATCCCTGTCTCACCCTGAAATCTAGACATCCAGCATATCATTAATTCCAGCATGCCCAGTACGTATAAACCAAAAAGATAATATGTTTTAACAGTTGACTTTTCCTTCCTTGTTTGTCTTTTCCAGTTACTTTCAGGCACGGCAAAAGAGAGATTTGGAAGGAGACTTTAACTTCCCTGATACCATTACTTTTATCATGCTCATCATGGAGGTGTTTCTGTTTGTTCTCAATCGCTGCCAATCATGGCAAATGAAATGGGCCTCTTACTCCTTTATACCCGCACTTTGATTACGACTATTGTAGAATTGTATCTGCTTGCATGCCTAGGTGGCTTTCTGTCACGGTAAATGAGGTTAAGAGGGAGGGAAAAGGAGTGAAAGGAAAGGAGATGTGAGAAGATCAAACTTAACACCTATCTCAACCCTGGACTCTCTGCATACCTTACAACGGTAGGCCCAAGAGCTTAAGTAGTATTTAACTTTTTCACTCGTTTTTGGATATTCCATTCAATCAAGATAAAGTAAGTGCCGTCTTTTTCATCATTCGTTTGCACCACTTCTAAGCACCACAGACTGCCACTTTCTGTGTGTACCATTTGCTCCCATATTTCCAATTTCCAAAATTTAAATGACGTTATTGGCTTTCGAATCTGAAAAATTTCGGCACGGCTTCTTGTTTCTCATTCCGAATATGCATCACTACATGTTCAAGAGCACAATGCAATTGAATGAGGTTGAAAGAGATTATCAGAAAAAGATCTGAAAAACGTCATATGCCAAGGCACATCGAGATTTGAAGGATGATTTGAACTTATTAAGCTTGAAGTGCTTTTTCAGAATATTTTCTGGAGCATCAAAGTTCTGACATATTATTTGCTCTTCAAACTAAAATTATACTGCGAGCTTATCTTTTTTTTTGACATGAGCTTAAAAATCAGGAGAGCACTGTAGGATTTAAAAATTCATATCATTTCATTAATAGCTAAAGGGGCCGCCAAGCAATG